TTTTTTCCTACCTGAACGTGTACCTTTGAGGCAACTGTCTGGCTGCGCCGGCTTCTTCTTTGGCCTCCTTCTGAACTTTGTCTACAACTTTGAGGCACCGCTGCCCGGAACTGCTCCGGCTTCTTTGGCATCGTGCCTTTGACTTTTGGGCGGAACTAGCCGCCCCCACCTTTGGCAGCAACTAGGCCGCCCCTCTTCTTGTGCGAAGTGAGTTTCCTTGCCTTTGTGGTGGCTCCCTGGTGGGCTGCTCTTCTTTGAGGGTGCGATGGCCGAGGAGGACAAAGGGACCTCGGCGTGGTACAAGGTGCCGACGTGGGACGGAAGCCCGGCTACATGGAGGGCTTTCCAGCGAGAGATGGAATGGTGGATGTCGTCCTTGGACGTCGACAACACCAAGAAGTTCAACTTGGCGGCGCGGTGGCTTTTGAGACAAAGCGGTGTCGTGAGGCAAAGGGGTGAGGAGTTTACGCCGAAGGAGTTGGAATACACTAAGGAAGTGCGAGCGAGAGACCCCGAGGGCGTGGAGATTGTCGTGACCGAGGAGGACCCCTTCAGCGGCCTTAATAAGCTCATGGCGGCCCTGGAGGAGATCAACGGCAAGACGGCCTTGGACAAGAAGGGCGAGCTGAGACGTCAGTTTTATACTGACCTCACCCGTCGCCCTGGAGAACGGCCTGCGGACTTCCTTTCGCGGTTCAGGTACCTGGCGGCAGAGCTTAAGAGCGAGGGCATCGCTCTTCCTTCCAGTGAGCTGGGTTGGTTTCTGAGAGAGAAGCTTGGCTTGGACCCACTGAGGAAGCAGTTGCTTGAGACAGCGCTGGCTGGCCGGGAGAAGTTCGAGGACGTCGAAGCTGAAGCCCTTAGGCTTTTTAAGGAACTCCACGCCTCCGACCCCCTGTACAAGAGGCTGGGCGCGGACACCCGGTTTCAAGGCCGGGGGTTTGGACGAGGCGGTTCTTCTTCCTCGGGGGCCTCTTCGTGGCGAAGTTCGGCCGGGAGCACCTGGTCAGGACGATCCTCGTCTGGGGGATCGGTGGCGGGAGCAGCTGGGAAACATGGTGGCAAGGGCTCTTCTTTCGGCCAACGGCGGCCCTTCTTTCCGAACCTGAGGCACCGGCAAGCATATGCCGCTGAAGCTGACGAAGGGCAACTCAACGAGGAGCCGGAGGTTGAAGAGGAGGAGCTCGTGGCCGACCCGGCTGGTGACTCGCCGGACCTCGACGAGATTCTGGAGATCGAGGCGGAGGCTCTGGCGGCTGAGCTGGAGCAGGCTGAGACTGAAGGCGTGGACGCAGAGACGCTCGGGCAGATCGAGGGTTGCGTGGAAGGCGCCGCCGAAGCGCTGATTACCATGAGGGATGCCAAGGCCCGTCTTCAAGAAGTTCGTCGTGACCGTGGCTTCGGAAAGGCAGGCGGCACCTCTGGGCCCGGAGTCGGTCAAGGCTCGCGGGCGACGCCTGGGTTCAAGAAACGTGGGACCTGCTTTGACTGCGGGCTGGCCGGCCACTGGGCCGGGGACGCGGCATGCCAACGCCCAGGTGCCGGACTTGCAAGGCCAAAGGGCGGATCTCGAGGACCGACTTCACCCTCTTCGTCGGCCCCTTCGGGATCTCCTCAAAGGCGGGTGCAGCTTGTTGAGACCTTTGCGGCGGAGACGGAGCCCGAGCTCAACGAGCACAGCGTGAACGAGACCGCCGTGGCAAGCACACTGGAGCAAGCCTTGGCCGTGACCTGTCCCCGTGAAGTGCTGGCTGGAGCTATGTCAAAGGATAAAAAGAACGTGGGTGCCCTTGACTCGGCTTGCAATAGGACTGTTTGCGGGAGAGCCTGGCTGGAAAGCTACCTTGGAGCACTGCGTGCGTCGCCTTGTTGGGAGGCGCTGCGGCCTCTCTTGGCGACGGAGCCCGAGACAGAGACCTTCAAGTTCGGGAACGACGG